TTTTTTTTTTTTTTTTTTTTTTTTTTTTTTTTTTTTTTTTGTATTTTTGGTGGCTGGCAGGTACGGGGATCCAAACCTTTGACCTTAGTGTTCTCAGCACCACACTCTACCAACTGAGCTAACCAGCAACCCCCGAGTGATCTGTTTCTGACTACAGAGGTCATGAAACCTGATCAATTATATAATCTCAAAACTGGAAGGGATCTCATAGGTCATGAAGCAAGAATTCTCTCCACAGTAGATTAGATTAAATTAGATGACCAATTTCTGTTTAAAGGCTAGTTTAAACTAAGCTCTCACTCAAACAGGTAGCAATTTATTACATTTTCTGATCCTTCTAACTAGCAGAAAGGGCTTTTTCTCCCCTGCTAAGATTGGATAGGTGGTTTAAAAAAAAAAAAAAAAAAAAAAGTGAACGATAATGTACACCCTACACAAATAAAAATTTTCACTGTTTTCATTTAGGGGTAAGAAAGTATATTGCATTTAATAACAATTCCACATATAAAAGTCAAGTTCAAAAAATGCATCTTGAAACTTACATTTATATCCTCATAACAAAAAACAACTTAGAAACTCTGCCTTATAAATATATAAGACATAAAGAAAACATACCTGGGATGATATCACTGATGTGTAAAAGAATTGTACTTTCAACACTTGCAAAACTACAAAGCTGTATTCCATCAAATCTTCCATCCCAGTTGCCAATAGGGTTATCCTAGAAATTAAACAGTAGATTAAATTTTGAAACCCTCCTCAGTATAAATATGAAAGCACTTTTCATAAAAGGATCCTCCAAAATATTTTACATTAGTAAATTTTAACTATTTTTCCTAAAAGAAAGAAAGAATATATTAGGAATAATTAGCATAGTAATAAGGCTTTTTTGTTTGTTTTTATAAAAATGAGATCCAACAATAATTAAGTTATAGTAAATCCATGTATGAGCAAGGAACCAAAAGTGTTTTTCATACTTTACTGGACAATAAATACTAGCCTATGGAATAACATCTACTGAGGTTTAAAAAGACATTGTTTTGCATAGGTAGATTTGTTAATAACACATTATTTCACCCAGAAACCCACCCCTAATTAGCCCTAGCTCGCTCTGATCAGTCCTTTGTATTCCCTGAGTGTTTAAATAGTCCATTTAAACTCCTGTAGACCTTTCTGTACACAGAAAGTCAACTTTTTAATTGTTCTTTTGTCATTTTATGCATATGCAAGAATTTCCTCCAAAACAGAGATTTTTATATTTAATTACTTTACATTCCAAATTAGCACCAATTAATACAGTGCTGTTCATGGGGCCAGATTAGGAGTGCAAATGTGTACAGCATGCTAAAATGTCCCTGGAAATAAAAGGAAATGAAGAAAATTGCATTTGCTAGAACTTTCTTCTCAAGGAGCATACTAGAAGTGTTTGGAACAAATGCTTGCACAAGCCAACTGGGGGATGGACAGAGGCAGGGAGAGAAGCTGGCAGGGCAAACCTTGAGGCAGCTTGCCCTGGGTAGAGAAGAGGATCCCTAGACTGCCACCTAAGGAGGGTAGGGCCTAAAGGGCTTTTGCCAAGTTAGGGGACTGAGCCAAATGACTTGAAAAAGGGGAGACTAACCCCAATGACCAGTGGCCCTCTTTCTCCAACCTTCCTTCCACCCACCCAGCCCACAATTTCTCCTCTAAGTAAATTCTGAATCAATATTTAAAGAATATTGGTTAAAAGGTATCCTTATGTTTTACTTTGGCTCTAACTTTTCACATAGTAAGAGTACAGTAAGTTTAGTAACTAACTAATGAGTATCAAATAGAATTTCTAAGAACATTCATACCCTATCAACCAAAAGGTACAGGTGAACAGATAAAAATTGTTACTAAAAACAGCCCCATCATGAGTACAAGGGTCTACCTATACAACAGTCTACCTATTACTCATGTCCTCTCCTAACTCATTCTAGTGCTTTATAATTCTGTATGAACTTCCTTCTTTATAACTAGCAAATTTTTGCCCATATTTTCTATCTATGACAAAAATGTTCTCAGTCTTTTTCTTCTCATTCTCTTAATACCACAGGTATATTTGACTTGCTGTATTGGAATTATCCATTATTAATAAATACAATTGTAAGCTAATATTAAAAATGAGTGACACAAACAAAAGAACTAATACTGTATGATTCCACTTACATGACATGCCTGGAACAGGCAAATTCACAGAGACAGAGGTGTGGTTAACAGAGGGTGGGAAGAGTGGACAGTTGTTTAATAGGTATAAAGTTTCAGTTGGGGATGATAAAAAAGTTCTGGAGATAGATAGTGGTGATGATACAACTATGTGAATATACTTAATGCCACTGAACTATACATTTGAAAATGGTTAAAATGGTAAATTTTAGGTTAGATGATAAAAAAGTTCTGGAGATAGATAGTGGTGATGATACAACTATGCGAATATACTTAATGCCACTGAACTATACATTTGAAAATGGTTAAAATGGTAAATTTTAGGTTAAGTATATTTACCACAACAAAAAAAGTTTTAAATGAGTGACATCCTAAATAAAAAAAAAAGCATCTTGTTTTTTGGGTTGTTTTTTTTGGTCTACTGGTCAGCTATCATAATAAGGCTGATAACATTATTAAAGACTGATAACAATATTCCAGTTTATTCAAATTGGAAAAAGTAAATGTAATTCTATACCTAGACTACTGTCCCATTTCAATGTTCCATTCCCAAAGATAAATTAGAACACATTCTTTAAAGTATTTCAAATTAGTCCATTTTAAATACTCAAAGTGTTCAATTTGTAACTAAATTGGCCATAAAACGAATACATATGTTCACAAAGACAATATAATCTAAAATTTTCTTACCATGTCCACACCAACAAAATATCCTAAGCTTTCTTTTCCTGGTAAAACATCACAGAATATAACTGTTCCAGACTCTATAGTTTCTCCAACCTTCAAGGATACTCTGGAGTTGATTTCCAAAGGAGGAAGTTCAACCTGCATTGTGTCCACTGGACCTGCATAATCACTTTCCAATCCATTGTCATCATCTTCTATGATTTCTAGCTTGTCCAATGCAACAAACACTCCACAATCTTCATCACACTGAAAGAGCTGTTTCCCTTGATATACCCCATCAGTGAAACCTTGACCACGACCTTCTTCCTAGTTTTCAAGACAGAGAGAGAAAGAAAAATAGATGGATATAGAAAGGTGATCCACAGGAAAAAGAATCCACTCTGGGGATTTTGGAGAAATCACTTTGGAAAAATTCTAAATGATACATATAATAAGAAATATAATTATTAGCAGTTGCTGTTGGATTTAGGATGTTTTAAAAAATAAGAAGCTGTATCTGATCCTGAAATAAAATTACTTGATAATCTCAAACCATAATTCTATTATGAGAGAGCTGGGCTGGACTCTACATTGTGATTTTAACATTAATTTTGTCATAAAAGAATTTTATTAAAATAACAGTGATGTTAGCTCCATTTATCAAGCACTTACCATATGCTAAATCTTGTATCAACATATCACAAAAACATTTTAAGTCATGTACTATTATCACCATTTTACACATGAAGAAGCAGATTTAGAGAAGTTAAGTGGGCTGGTTAAGTAACCCAGCAATACAGCTAGTAAATGGCATAACTGGGACTCAAAGCCCCAATTGTTTTACAATCACTGCTTAAAAAAAGTAAATCAGGACACAAGCAAGGCATGAAATTCTATTTGCAAGAACGTCAAAATGTAACGGACATTTAAGTTCTTGAGAATTAATATTAAATTTGGAAACACATCACAGAGTTCTCGGGTTTCTTTCCAGGAGAAATAAATTACAAGATAACTTTTACATATATTATCTGGGACAGCTATAAGCAAGTTTAAATTGCTGCAGCTTATTAGAAAAATCTTATATCTAAGTTATCATTACTTAGCACACATTAAGAAGAACTGAGAAACCTATAGATGATAATGTCACAAGATAATTAATTTTTGAAGCAATTAAATTAGTAAAGCTCATTTTTAATAAAAGCAATGTTAAAATTTCTAAGAGTTGGTAAGTCTTCAATAACTATGATTTATTTGTATGTTCCTACTACAAGTATAGCAGATAGTTTTAAAGTTTTTAAGAATTTGTAGATTGTTTTGGGTAGTATGGACATTTTCACAACATTAATTCTTCCAATCCAGGAGCACAGGGTGCCTTTCCATCTTTTTGTGTCCTCATTCATTTCTTTCAGCAGTGTTTTGTAGTTCTCATTGTAGAGATCTTTCACCTCCTCAGTTAAATTGATTCCTAGGTTTTTTGTGGGGGGTTAGGGGAAACTATTGTAAATGGGTTTGCTTTCTTGATTTCATTCTTTAGATCAACTCAATTCATCATTAAAAAGTAAATCCTGGGGGCTGGCCCTGTTCACTCGGGAGAGTGTGGCGCTGGTAGCGCCGGGGCGGTGGGTTCAGATCCTATATAGGGATCCTATATAGGGATCCTATATAGGGATGTCCAGTGCGCTCACTGGCTGAGCGTGGTGAGGATGACACCATGCCAAGGGTTGCAATCCCCCTACCGGTCAGAAAAAAAAAAAAGTAAATCCTAAGGAGTATGTGTACTATACCTATAGAAGACTTCTGGGAAAACTTATTTTGTACTAAAGGGGGGAAAATGCATATGTGCATACAAATACACACAAACACACATGCACAGCCCACTAAAATGGTTTATCAAACTTACCAGCAATTCTACTCCAAAGAATATTCCCGACACCGTCCTCTCTGCTAATAAGGGTCCCCTGAAGCGCACAACTCCAGGAAATTTATCTTCCCCAGATCTCAGCTGTACTTTCACAGGGCAGCCCACATCTATTTGAAGGCCTTTACTTAGTCTGTTTCTGTTTTTAAACAGGCTGAACCTCTCCTCACAATTGGTAATTGCCAAAAGTAACTCTGTGAATTTTTCATTTATTTCTACAACATCCTTTTCATCAACAAAGAGAACCGCATGAGGTTGCTCTAGAATTTTTAATCCAATCTGATTTTTCTTGCCTTTTGCAGAAGGAATCCTCGAATGCCCCACCGAACGATCTTGGATATACTGTCCTATGCTCCCCTTTGGTACTTTCAGGAGTTTTTGCGTTTGTTTGTCTGTAACACTGCATTCTTGAAGAAGCAAATAAAAAATCCGCTCTTCCCAGTAGGATGAAGTAACTTTTTCTTGGCTCCATAAGCCTGAACTCATTGTGATAATAATGTCAAAATATTAACTCAAAAAAAAGGGAACTATCAATAAGTTTGTTGTAAAACTGCAAAAAATAAATTCACTGGCAGTCCCAAAGCATGTTTTTAGCCATTTGGTGTCCATACTGTAAAAAGACAGCAAATCGAAATGCCTGGTGAACAAGCAAAAATAAACTTCAGACTTCATTCTACATGACCTAAAATTAAGGTTAAAGACTCTTAAAAATATCATTTGACTAGTAAACAAACACACACACACACACACACACACACACACACACGAAATATTTCCAAAAATATCTAAAAGGGCTAAAAGACATATATTACTTGTATCTACTGTAACTGTGCATATTTAATTAAGGAAATCCAATTGTAAAGTACCTTCAAAGATAATACAATGTTTGTTTCCATCAAGACACTGCAATTTATGAAGTCAGATTCCAATAAAAATTTTAAAGTTTACCCTTATACACATATTCTGACATTTTTAAACTTTAAAAAGTAGCATTTTTAATGGATCTTGCCTAACTTAAGATAAGCTGTTGTATTTGAGCAAAACACACATAAATCTTACAAACCAAAAAGGCTATCATATCAATCACATTCTGCAACTTTAACCACAATTCATTTATCTGTATACCATATTTTGATAATGGAACATTTTACAACTGACCCAGTTTTATTTCCTTCATCTTGTACATTGTGTCCTTAGATAGGCAAATGTTAATCACAGTAATCATAGCTATCATTTAATTTCTCACAATCATAAATATTAGATATTATAATCTTATTATGTTAAAGATATTTTAAAGGTCAATCCTGTAGCAGCAAAACTTGGATTGCATAACAAGGAGATATAATTGCGTACAGTAAATAATACAAAATGTTTTTATACCACAATTTTAACTATGTTTACAAGGAAGGAATACACAAAAGATTTCTTTTTCAGTTTCAAATATTTTGAAAAGTTCTCAGTTCATTTAAAGTTTTTACAGAAATAATAATCTTCTATAGCTAAGTGGCTTGATTCTCAAAATCACACAATTTCATTAATTCAAATTGAGACTTTACTTCATTATTTTAAATAACTGTTTTGTTGAAAACAAAAGTTCCAATGTATTCCCTGTTACAAGAATGTAGCTATTTGTTTTCTAAATACAGTACTTATTTCATCCTTCAGTGAGACAAAGGTATCCATTTCCATTATTCTGGGTAATGGCAGCAACTGATAGAGCACTATCATATTTATCTATTTTATTCTTGCAATTAAAAAATAAATACTCCTAAAACAAAAGAACCAAATTTCATTTCATCGTTTAACTTAACAATGAAACAATCTACCAAATCTATTCACAGAGTAACATTTCTTTTAGAAAGAATTATTAATAAGACATTCCCTAATGGTGACATTTTTTAAAGTCTGTCCCTCTACAAGCCAGAATGAGAAGTGTGGGTTACCCAAAACAGGCTAAGAGTCTGGCACACTTCAAACCAACATTACTGAAATATCTGTGCAACATTTATTGAGGACAGAGGCATGAAGTGGTTCTCTCTCTCTCTCTCTCTTCTTTTTTTTTTTCTTCTTTTTCTTTCCTTTTTTTTCCTTCCTTTTTGCAATGTGTTTGTTTTAATTCCACTTGAGGGCACTGTCTACTTCAGCAGGAATGGGATCAATTTATACTTGCCACTTATATAAGACACCTGTGGATACGTCTATCTTGGCACCATACAAACGAAACTGCTCGGGCTACTCAAGCAGCTACAATGCCCCTTATTTGGCTCTGTTCTTTTAAAGTACCAAAAAGAAATGTTTGGCATTTTTTACTAAAATGCTTTTAAACTTTTCAACAAGGAAATGGCTTTTTTTTTCTTGATCATTGAGTTATCATTGTGAATATAAATTATTGTGTGACTCTCAATACGCAAGACTCTTTGTTACTTTGTTAAAAGGCTTTACATTATGCTTTTTGAGCTCTCGTGTCTGCTTTCTATAGATCTACAGTCTACATTTTCCCCTGCAATCAGCCATTTTCTGTGGTTTCCTGCAGTATGCATTTGACTCCTTTTACGGCCTTGTTGCTTTCCAACTTACTGCCTCTAATCAGTTCTGAGAAGGCAGATGATGAAATATGTTAGTGTGTTAAAAAAACAAACAAAGCAACAATAACAAAAAAAGGAATATATAAATTCTCAAAGAGGGCCGGCCTGTGGCTCACTCGGTAGAGTGCGGTGCTGATAACACCAAGGCCACGAGTTCGGATCCTATATAGGGATGGCCGGTTTGCTCACTGGCTGAGCGTGGTGCTGACAACACCAAGCCAAGGGTTGAGATCCCCTTACCGGTCATCTTTTAAAAAAAAAAAAAAAAATTCTCAAAGGATCTTTAGGAGTAAAGTGCATAGGCTTTATTGCACAGATATCATTTTGGTTGCTCTAGAACATTGAGATAGTCAAAAAGCAACTTCCAATAAAGTGAACTGTAGTTTTGGTTCTCTTTAAAATGTATTTCCATTTTTGATCCAAAAAACTTTTTAAAGGTAAAGCAATTCTATTTTGAAAAGAAATTCTTTTTAGAAGTTCCTAAGAATGATATTTTAAATATCAAAATCAGAAACTTACTCAAATCTTAATAATTATTTACTTGCCAACAGGTAAAGCAATTCTATTTTGAAAAGAAATTCTTTTTAGAAGTTCCTAAGAACGATATTTTAAATATCAAAATCAGAAACTTACTCAAATCTTAATAATTATTTACTTGCCAACAACTCCTACTCTATTGGGTCTCTAGCTTAACAATTCATGTCAGAGTTAAAAACAAAAACCATTAGTGCTAATAAAATATTATCAAGACAAAACTAAATTACTAGATGTAATGCATTAGGACACAATATTTTAAATGAATTTGATTACCAAATTGCATTTTGCAAATCATTTAAGGGAGACAGCCCACAGTAAAAATTGATATAACTACTTGATTTATAAAAAAGTTGAGGGCAATAAACAGTGGGTTTCAATTATCATATTTTAAAGTGAACTACACAAGGAGCAGTAATTTTATTCTAATTTGAATTAGCAAAAGTGGGAATGAGCTTAGACTCAATAAAAGGATGGGTCATGTTAGACAACCAGAACAGCCAAAGCAAAAGTTATAAAATATTTAAAAAGCATTATCCAAAAATAAAAAGGATGTGGCCTTTCCTCTTTTAGAAAGAATACATTAAGAATAGATTTGAAACTATCATATTAAAAATTGATTCTCTTCATTGCAAGGGATAGAGAAAGTTGAATGGGGAACTTTATGGCTCTAGTCTAGAGATATAAAAGATAATAAACTTATTATCATTAACATTCTCAAAATACTAGTATTACAACAGAAGTATGCTAACACATATTTCCTCCCACTGTAGAAATGAATATAATGCCAACATTCTTCTTTCAAGGGGATATGTACAGTAGTTAAATAGTTAAAGTCTTAAAGACCCCAAGTAGTAAAAGTGACTCAAGATAACATGAAGGGAATGATTTCAACCACATTGTAAATGAGTTCTTTATCAATCAGGAAGGTTGGTCTATTGATTTAGTATTTTTATATACTCAATACAGTATTAGACACTGAAAAATACAGATTTAAGACATGATGGCTGCCTTCCACAAGTCATCCGATGTTCACTCAACTTCTGCCTTTAAGTAAAGATCATAGGAGCAGTAAGACAACACAAGGAAGCAGAAGCACAGCCAAATTCAAAATCAGGATAGGGCAGGTGCAGGGGGTAAGGAGAGGGCTGGTCACTGTGAAGGGAGAAATTTTCATTTATATATATTCCTTACTACTTTGCAAGTCGAATTACCCTGAGGCTGAGTATATCACAAATGACTCATCTAAATACTATCCTACTTATTTCAAGCTGGGTAATTACTGTAAGTACTGAATGAAGATTATCAAAGAGTTGGAAAACAGTAACATATTTAACCCTAAAACCATGTTGAACAGAAGTCTTTCTTTTGACAAAACTGAAGATCAGGGAACAGTTCAGGATCACATAGATTTGAAAATGTATCTGGTTATCTGAGCTTGTTGATGGTCTGAATCATGAGTAAAGAGTAATTTAATTGTATTCAGACAGTCATTAAACCAAGATGAGAGTGGGAAGGCACAAATGTTTATCAGTTTCCCATGAATGGAAAGATGATCAAGAATGTTTCACCTGAAAATATTAAAGATCAGAATTACCATGTTCTAAAAATACAAATGATCATTAATCATTAGCTACATAAAATCGACAACAGTTAACTTATCCAGGAGACACAATGTCATTTGATGCTCAAGTTATCAGATTATACTGTTCATAAAAACTTCACAAAGACCCATGTAATTCAAGAACTTTTTGTATCTCCTAAGATATCCTGCTTGATTTAAAACCCACAGAAGGCTATCTAAATCAGAATAAAAATAACACTAAAAAACTGACCTTAAGTATAAATGGCAAAAAGGTAGGAAGGTCAGTGTGAACACCAAAGGAAGAAGACAAGTGGGTCTTTTTCCAAATGCTTCTAGATAGCTAGAATGATTTTAAGAAAGAACATCTCTCACTAAAAGAATAAGTCATTATATTCCTAAACAGCTAAATAGGAATGACCAGAAAAGAGACAGTCTGTCTTAATTTTCCTCATAGAGTAACTTGTGTGTCAAGTACACAGTCCCTAAAACAAGTGGGATTTACAAGGCTAAAAAAAAAAAAAAAGTCTGGCTCCTTCATCTGCATGTCCATGTCAGAAGAAGGAACGTAACGTTTCACTAAAGTTAAACCTAGCCACTACTCTAACAAAGTGTAAATTCCCAAGTCCTTCATCTTTATATTTCCAGTGCCCAAAATCAGTGCCTGACATAGGGTAGGTATTCAGTACGTGAGAAAGGAATGAAGGACTTGCTTATCACTCAAGCGATAGCAGTAAAAGCAAAATCTCACTTTCTCACCCTGTTTAAGTGATTAGTTTCTTTCAGGTTAAAAAAGAGAGAGAGAGAGAGAGGGAGAGAGAAAGGAAAAAGACTCAAGTGTTGGGAGTATTTAATCACTTTTGCCTAAAAATTCACTAATTCTCTGGAGGAGAGAGAAAGGAAAAAGACTCAAGTGTTGGGAGTATTTAATCACTTTTGCCTAAAAATTCACTAATTCTCAGAGAGAGAGGGAGAGAGAGAGGAAAAAGACTCAAGTGTTGGGAGTATTTAATCACTTTTGCCTAAAAATTCACTAATTCTCTGGATGAATGAAGTCATGGTCAATTTTCATACCACTTTGTTACACATATAAGCTGAAACAAATAAGGAAAATTTCACAATTATGAAACCAAATTATTTTGAGGTTCATTTGAAACCAGCTTCCTAGAGCCTAACAGCAAGTATGATGCTTATACTGTATAATTGATCTAAAAAACAAAAAACCAAAAACCTCGACAAATCTAAGATCATAGTGTGAAAATCAGGAACAAAATACTAATAGTTTGATAAATAAGATAATTATTCCTTTCTTCTTGCATTAAAGACTTACTTAAATCAAACAAAACCACAGTTTAGGCATACCAGACCACAAAAATCATTGCTGCTTAAGTCTGTTTCTGTTTTACGTAACAAGTATCCTGGCCTTATTAGCTCCTCACAAAAGTTACCAGGGGAAGGCATCTTTACAAGAATACCTATTTTGCTGCAGAACATTAGAGAATATTCTGGGTTTTATCAACATTCATAGTACATGAACTTTAAAAATTTTTCCAGCAGATTATTTTCTCCTAATACTGTTCTAGTTCAAATCCACCCACTACCCAGTGGGAATGGCAGGCTAAATTCTTAGGGCCATTCAATCTACTTGAGGCATGAGGGGGTGTACAGAAAGCAAACACTTGAATGAACACCCTCTCAAGGCCTGGGTTTTTCTCTGGGAGCCAATGATTGCAAAACGAACAATCTTATTAAGATTCCTAATTAGATTGAATTCAAAAGCAAGGTAGAAATGCTCCTTAGCTGAGCTAAAGACACAACTTTCCAGAGAAAACTGGGGAGAGGAAGGTAGCAGGGATGATGGGGGTTGGGAGACTGCAAGGCCACAGGCTTGGTGGCTGGAAGATGACAACCATCCTAAAACATTCAAATGCCAAGGGGTGGAATAGAAAAGATGCCAAGTACATGAATAACCAGGCAGCTGACCCAGCTGAGCCCCAAACTCAAGAACACCATCTTCCTTCAAGATTTCACGATTTCCCCTCATATCGTTAATATAATAAAGAAAAACAGAAAGAAAGAAAGAATATCTGTCTCAACAGGGCGCACCTTCCAACTAAAGAACTCCAGATTATTGTGTAACACCATTCTCACCCGGGAAAGGGGGAAACTGAAAGAAAAAGCAGAACACGCCATTAACGAGCCCAGAATCCCGACTGCTCCTCCTGGACGGGAGCCACAAACACCCCAAAACCGATCAGTCCATTCGCCCCACGGCACAGACGTGAAACGTTAGAACCCGGGCCTCTTAATGCCAACTGGGGCAGTTGGGAGCCAGTCAGCGACCCGTGCCTCAGTTTCCCCATCTTTAACTGCGGGGAGCGGAGAAGAGGGAGACTGCGTCCTACGCTGCTCCCACACCAAGCTCTCTCTCCTCCCGGGGGTCCCGGCGGCGGCCACCATGCTACCACGACACGGGAGCCCTCCCGGGAATGCTGGAGGAGTGGGAAGCCCCGGGGGTGGGGAAGCCCGGCTGACGTCGGCAGGCTCTGCACCTCCCGGGCCCGGCCGGCTTGGGCAGGGGAAATTAACGGGCCGGCGCCCAGGGCCCGGCGGTCGCCGCGACGGTTACAGGCGTCCCGAGGCCGGAGAGGGGCGCCCGAAGGCATCGGGCC